TTTCCCCTCTAAAACATTCCCAGTTCCTCGGAACATCCATGGGACAGAAATTCCCTTTCCCTGAGCTAATCCTGGGAGCAGTTCCTCAACTCTTTTCCAGCTTTTCCGCAGGAATTCCAGGGAGATAAAGAATTGTAATTAGGAATATTTAGGAATATCCAGCGGTGCATGGAGCAGGAATTCAAAAAATTTTGGATTATTTCTGTCCCGCTGGATTTTTGTTTTTCCTCAAAGGATTTTTATTGTCAGGACCAGAAGCTTGAAGGGTTTTTATGGAATTTCCATTTAGGAATTTCCATTTAGGAATTTCCGTTTAGGAATTTCCATTTAGGAATTTCCATTTAGGAATTTCCATTGAGGAATTCCCATTTAGGACTTTCCATTTAGGAATTTCCATCGAGGAATTTCCATTTAGGAATTTCCATCGAGGAATTTCCATTTAGGAATTTCCATTTAGGAATTCCCATTGAGGAATTTCCATTTAGGAATTCCCATTTAGGAATTTCCATTGAGGAATTTCCATCTCGGAATTTCCATTCAGGAATTTCCATCTCGGAATTTCCATTGAGGAATTCCCATTTAGGAATTTCCATCTCGGAATTTCTATTGAGGAATTTCCATTTAGGAATTTCCATTGAGGAATTTCTATTGAGGAATTTCCATTTAGGAATTTCCATTGAGGAATTTCCATTCAGGAATTTCCATTTAGGAATTCCCATTTAGGAATTTCCATTTAGGAATTTCCATTGAGGAATTTCCATTTAGGAATTTCCATTTAGGAATTTCCATTGAGGAATTTCCATTGAGGAATTTCCATTTAGGACTTTCCATCTAGGAATTTCCATTTAGGAATTCCCATTTAGGAATTCCCATTTAGGAATTCCCATTGAGGAATTTCCATTTAGGACTTTCCATTTAGGAATTTCCATCTAGGAATTTCCATCTAGGAATTCCCATTTAGGAATTCCCATCTCGGAATTTCCATCTCGGAATTTCCATCTCGGAATTTCCATCTCGGAATTTCCATTGAGGAATTTCCATTTAGGAATTTCCATTTAGGAATTTCCATCTAGGAATTTCCATTTAGGAATTNCTATGGGATGGAGGCTCCCTGGGAGATGGATCCATGGGATGGATGGAAGTGGATCCATGGGATGGAGGCACCAGGGAAGTGGATCCATGGGATGGGATCTCCCAGGGAAGTGGATCCATGGGATGGAGTTCTGATGGAAGTAGATCCATGGAATGGGATCTCCCAGGGAAGTGGATCCATGGAATGGGAACTCCCTGGGAGATGGATCCATGGGGATGAAGGTTTCCAGGGAAGTGGATCTGTGGCATGGAGAGAAGTGAATCCATGGGATGGGAGGTCTGATAGAAGTGGATCCATGGAGTGGGAGCTGCCAGGGAAGTGGATCCATGGGATGGAGTTCTGATGGAAGTGGATCCATGGGACAGAGGCTCCCAGGGATATGAATCCATAGGATGGATGGAAGTGGATCCATGGGACGGAGACTCTCTGGGAGATGGATCCATGGGGATGGAGGTTTCCAGGGAAGTGGATCCGTGGCATGGAGAGAAGTGGATCCATGGGATGGGACCTGTGATGGAAATGGATCCATGGGAATGGAGGCTTCCAGGGAAGTGGATCCATGGGATGGGAACTCCCAGGGAAGTGGATCCATGGGATGGGAGCTCTGATAGAAGTGGATCCATGGGATGGATGGAAGTGGATCCATGGCATGGATGGAAGTGGATCCATGGGATGGGATCTCCCAGGGAAGTGGATCCATGGGACAGAGGCTCCCAGGGATATGGATCCATAGGATGGATGGAAGTGGATCCATGGGACGGAGACTCTCTGGGAGATGGATCCATGGGGTGGGAACTCCCAGGGAAGTGGATCCATGGGGATGGAGGCACCAGGGAAGTGGATCCATGGAATGGGATCTCCCACAGAAGTGGATCCATGGGCTGGAATTCCCAGGGAATTGGATCCATGGCATGGAGGCACCCAGGGAGGTGGATCCATGGAATGGGATCTCCCAGGGAAGTGGATCTATGGGACAGAGGCTCCCAGGGATATGGATCCATAGGATGGATGGAAGTGGATCCATGGGATGGGAGCTCTGATAGAAGTGGATCCATGGGATGGATGGAAGTGGATCCATGGAATGGGATCTCCGAGGGAAGTGGATCCATGGGGCTGGAGGCACCCAGGGAAGTGGATCCCTGGAATGGGATCTCCCACAGAAGTGGATCCATGGAATGGGAACTACCAGGGAAGTGGATCCATGGAATGGAGCTCTGATGGAAGTGAATCCATGGGATGGGAGCTCCCAGGGAAGTGGATCCATGGAATGGATGGAAGTGGATCCATGGAATGGATGGAAGTGGACCCATGGGATGGATGGAAGTGGACCCATGGGAAGGAGCTCCCAGGGAAGTGGATCCATGTGATGGGAACTGATGGAAGTGGATCCATGGGATGGGAGCTCCCAGGGAAGTGGATCCATGGAATGGAGCTCTGATGGAAGTGGACCCATGGGATGGGAACTGAGGCAAGTGGATCCATGGGATGGAGCTCCCAGGTTCCTGAGGCAAATCCCACCTGGAGCAGGACCAGGAGAGGAGCAAACAGAGCCTCCGAGGCTTTGGCAGCGCCTTGGAGGAGGAGATGGAAGAACCGACGGGATTCGGGATGGAATCCGCCCTAATTCCTGCTTTTCCCTTCCCAGGCACCTGTGGCCTCTCAAAGACCTCACCCTGACCTCCAACCAGGTAAGGAAAACCCTGGGAGCCAGCCGGGAATGGGAGTGGGACATGGAATTGGGCTTGGATGGGGACAGAGCTTCTCCCGGCGAATCCCAGGAACCCGAGCTCCATGGTCGGCTCTGCCCGTGGATTTCCATGGAGGTTTTGTGGGATGGTTCTGGGATCTCTGCCCCCAGCATTCCAAAGGTGTCCCTGTCTGTTTTCCAGAGGCGCTCCCTGATCAAGGACAAATGTTTCCTGTCGGCCACCGAGTGCCTGCAGAAGCTCATGTGAGTCCCTGCCCGGCTCTTCCCGCTCAAATCCAGGGAATTATTTTTGGGAAATGCCAGGAATTTGTACCTGTTTCAAAAGCATTCCCGCGCCATTCCATTCATTATTTAAGGAAAAGTTGTTTGGGATGTGCTTTCTGGTTCAAAGCGAATTCCATGGAATTTTTTTCCTCCAAAATTTCATGAAGACGTCGATAATGAAATCCAGCAATTCCCTGCTCAGCGTCTCCTCTTCCCACAGATATTCCCTGGGAAGGAATTCCTGGCTGGGAATGCGGGGAGGGGCTGGGATGGGATTCCCAGAGCAGCTGTGGCTGCCCCTGGATCCATGGAAATGTCCAAGGTTGGACACTTGGATCCCCTGGGACAGTGGGAGGTGTCCCTGCCATGGGGTTGGGCTGGATGTTCTTTAGGATCCCAAAAATTCCATGATTCCATGATTTTCAGTTGTTCCAGTTTGGATTTTGAGGCAAAGCAGACGAGCTCAGCATCAGCATGGAGGGAAAACATTCCAACATTCCCTGAGGGATTCCAAAGCCTTGGAGCCCAGCTCCAAAAAGAGCCCCAAATTCCTGAAATCCTCAAATGTCCCAATCCATATGGGAGACACCAGGAATGTCCCATCCAATATTGGAGATCCAGGAGGTCCCATTCCACCCTGGAACATCTCCTGGCCCTGGCTCTTGTTCCTTCTCTTTCCTCCACCCTTCAGAACCAACCCATCAATCCTTTCATCCCGAATTTTTTTTCCCAAATCCCGTTTTTCCGGGTGCAGCTTTTCCCTGTCTGTTTTCCCGCCGCAGCACCACGGTGGACCTGCGGGAGAAGCTGGAGATCCTCCAGAAGAGAATCTCCAGGAATATCCTATTCCATATGAGAGACACCAGGAATGTCCCATTCCATATGAGAGATCCCAGGAATGTCCCAATCCATATTTGAGACACCTGGGATGTCCCATCCAACACTGGAGATCCAGGAGTGTCCCATTCCCCCCTGGAACATCTCCTGGCCCAACCTCAGTGCCTCCTCTTTCCTCCACCCTTTGGAGCCAACCCATCAATCCTTTCATCCCGAATTTTTTTTCCCAAATCCCGTTTTCCCCGATTCCAACTTTTCCCTGTCTGTTTTCCCGCCGCAGCACGACGGTGGATCCGTGGGAGAAGCTGGAGATCCTCCAGAAGAGGATCTCCAGGAATGTCCCATTCCATATGGGAAATCCCAGGAGTGTCCCATTCCATATGAGAGACACCAGGAATGTTCCAATCCATATGGGAAACACTTGGGATGTCCCATCCAACATTGGAGACACCAGGAATGTCCCATTCCACCCTGGAACATCTCCTGGCCCTGGCTCTTGTTCCTCCTCTTTCCTCCACCCTTTGGAGCCAACCCATCAATCCTTTCATCCCGAATTTTTTTTCCCAAATCCCGTTTTTCCGGGTGCAGCTTTTCCACGTTTGTTTTCCCCCCTCAGCACCACGGTGGATCCATGGGAGAAGCTGGAGATCCTCCAGAAGAGGATCTCCTGGAATGTCCCATTCCATATAGGAGATCCCAGGAATGACCTATTCCATATTGGAGACACCAGGAATGTCCTATTCCATATTTTGAGACACCAGGAATGTCCCATCCAATATGGAAGACACCAGGAATGTCCCATTCCATATTTGAGACACCAGGAATGTCCCATCCAATATTGGAGACACCAGGAATGTCCCAATCCACCCTGGAACATCTCCTGGCCCAACCTCGGTGCTTCCTCTTTCCTCCACCCTTTGGAGCCAACCCATCAATCCTTTCATCCCGAATTTTTTTTCCATAATCCCGTTTTCCCCGATTCCAACTTTTCCCTGTCTGTTTTCCCGCCGCAGCACCACGGTGGATCCTCGGGAGAANCTCCAGGTTTCTCCCAGTGAATTTCCTGGAGATCTCCTGCTGCCCTAAGTTTTCCCAGAGACTCCAAACATCATCTGGAGCTCCAGGTTTCTCCTGATAACTCCAGAGGTCTGGAGCTCCAGGTTTTTCCCAGTGAATTTCCTGGACATCTCCTGCTGCTCCAGGTTTTTCCAGGGATTCCGAAGATCTCCTGGAGCTCCAGGTTTTCCTGATGATTCCAGAGATCTGGAGCACTCCAGGTTTCTCCAAGTGAATTCCCTGGACATCTCCTGGAGCTCCAGGTTTTCCCAGGGACTCTGGAGATCTGGAGTTCCACATTTTTCCCAGTGAATTTCTTGGAGATCCCCTGCTGCTCCAGATTTTTCCAGGGACTCCAAACATCTCCTGGAGCTCCAAGTTTTCCTGGTGACTCTGGAGATCTGGAGCTCCAGGTTTTTCCTGATGACTCCAGAGGTCTGGACCTCCAGGTTTCTCCCATTGAATTTCCTCGAGATCTCCTGCTGCTCCAGATTTTTCCAGGGATTTCAAAGATCTCCTGGAGCTCCAGGTTTTCCTGGTGACTCTGGAGATCTGGAGTTCCAGGTGTCTCCCAATGAATTTCCTGGAAATCTCCTGCTGCTCCTGGTTTTCCCAGGGACTCCAAAGATCTCCTGGAGCTCCAGGTTTTTCCTGATGACTCCGGAGATCTTGAGCTCCTGTTTTTTTCCAGTGAATTTCCTGGACATCTCCTGGAGCTCCAGGTTTTTCCTGGGACTCTGGAGATCTGGAACTCCAGGTTTTCCTGGTGACTCTGGAGATTTGGACCTCCAGGTTTCTCCCATTGAATTTCCTCGAGATCTCCTGCTGCTCCAGGTTTTCCCAGGGATTCCAAAGATCTCCTGGAGCTCCAGGTTTTCCTGATGACTCCAGAGATATTGAGCTCCAGGTTTCTCCCATTGAATTCCCTGGACATCTCCTGGAGCTCCGGGTTTTCCTGGTGACTCCAAGATCTCCTGGAGCTCCAAGTTTTCCCAGGGGCTCTGGAGATCTGGAGCTCCAGGTTTTTCCTAGCGGCTCCAAACATCTCCTGGAGCTCCAAGTTTTTCCTGATGACTCCAGAGGTCTGGAGCTCCAGGTTTCTCCCATTGAATTTCCTTGAGATCTCCTGGAGCTCCAGGTTTTCCTGGTGACTCCAAGATCTCCTGGAGCTCCAAGTTTTCCCAGGGGCTCTGGAGATCTGGAACTCCAGGTTTTCCTGGTGACTCTGGAGATTTGGACCTCCAGGTTTCTCCCATTGAATGTCCTGGAGATCTCCTGCTGGTCCCAGCTTTCCCAGGGACTCCAAACATCTCCTGGAGCTCCTGGTTTTCCTGGTGACTCTGGAGATCTGGAGCACTCCAGGTTTTTCCCAGTGAATTTCCTGGAGATCCCCTGCTGCTCCAGGTTTTCCCAAGAACTCTGGAGGTTTCCTGCTGCTCCAGGTTTTCCTGGTGACTCCAAGATCTCCTGGAGCTCCAAGTTTTCCCAGTGACTCCAGAGGTCTGGAGCTCCAGGTGTCTCCCAGTGAATTTCCTGGACATCTCCTGCTGCTCCAGGTTTTCCCAGGGATTCCAAAGATCTCCTGGAGCTCCAGGTTTTCCTGGTGATTCCAGAGATCTGGAGCTCCAGGTTATTCCCAGTGAATTTCCTGGACATCTCCTGCTGCTCCAGGTTTTTCCCAGGGACTCCAAGATCTCCTGGAGCTTCAGGTTTTCTCAGTGACTCTGGAGATCTGGAGCTCCAAGTTTTTCCCAGTGAATTCCCTGGATCCTCTCCTGGACCAACTCGTGGCCACCACAACCCAACCGTGCCAAGCTCNCATGGCGCGGGACGAGGTGACGTTCTGCTCCAGGGAAATCTGGGAATTCTACCGGTGAGAGCAGGATGGATCCGTGGGATGGCGGGAGCGGGAGCTGGGGCGGGTTTGGGGTCCAGTGTTCGTGGGAGTTCTTGGGGATTCTTGGGAGTTCTTTGAGAATTCCTCTGAATTCTTGGGAGTTCTATGTAATTCTTGGGAATTCCTCTGAATTCTTGGGAGTTCTTGGGAATTCTTGGGAGTTCTGTGCAATTCTTGGGAATTCTTGGGATTTCTGTGTAATTCTTGGGAATTCTTGGGAGTTCTTTGGAATTCTTTGGAATTCTTGGGAGTTCTTCAGAATTCTTGGGAGTTCTTCAGAATTCTTGGGAGTCCTTGGGAATTCCTCTGAATTCTTGGGAGTTCTTTGGAATTCTGGGGAGTTCTTTGGAATTCTTTGGAATTCCAAGGAATTCTTAGGAGTTCTTTGTAATTCTTGGGAGTTCTTTGGAATTCTTGGAAGTCCTTGGGAATTCTTGGGAGTTCTTCAGAATTCTTGGGAGTCCTTGGGAATTCTTCGGAGTTCTTTGTAATTCTTGGGAATTCTTGGGAGTTCTTTGGAATTATTTGGAATTCTTGGGAGTTCTGTGTAATTCTTGGGAATTCTTCGGAGTTCTTGGGAATTCTTTGGATTTCTTCAGAATTCTTGGGAGCTCTTTGGAATTCTTTGGAATTTGTGGGAGTTCTGTGTAATTCTTGGGAGTGCTTTGGAATTCTCGGGAGTTCTCTGCAATTCTTGGGAATTCTTCAGAATTCTTGGGAGTTCTTTGTAATTCTTGGGAATTCTTCAAAATTCTTGGAAGTCCTTGGGAATTCTTGGGAATTCTAGAGAATTCTTGGGAGTTCTTTGTAATTCTGGGGAGTTCTTTGGAATTCTTGGGAATTCTTCAGAATTCTTGGGAATTCTTTGGAATTCTTTGGAATTCCTTGAAGTTCTTGGGAGATCTTTGTAATTCTTGGGAATTCTTGGGAGTACTTTGGAATTCTTGGGAGTTCTTTTGGGAATTCTAGAGAATTCTTAGCAGCTCTTGGGAATTCTTAGCAGTTCTTGGGAATTCTTTGAAATTCTTGGGAATTCTTGGGAGCTCTTTGTTATGCTTGTGAATGCTTGGGAATCCTTGGGAATTCCGTAGAATTCTTGGGAGTTCTTTGGAATTCTTGGGGAATTCTTCCGAATTTTTGGGAGTTGCTGGCAGACTCGCTTCCTCGAGGTGCCAGCGCCAATCAGAGCACAAATCCCTGTGGTTGGAAATCCATGACTGAAGGAAAATTCCATGGGATCATGGAATTTCCTTCCATGGGATCACGGAATGCTTTGGGTTGGAAATCTCACCCAGCTCCAGCCCCTTCCCGNAGGGAATCCCAGGAATTCCTGACAAAATCCCGGGAATTCCTGAGGAAATCCAGGAAATTCCTGTTCTGCCAGAGGTACCCAGGGAATCCCGGGAATTCCTGAGGAAATCAATCCTGGGAATATTCTATTCTTCCCATGAGGGAATCCTGGGAATCCCTGAGGAAATCCCAAGAATTCCTATCCTGCCAAAGAGAGAATCCTGGGAATTCCTGAGGAAATCCCAGGAATTCCTTTCTGTTCTGCCAGAGGTACTGAGGGAATCCCAGGAATTCCTGAGGAAATCAGGAATATCTGTTTTGCTAAAGAGAGAATCCCGGGAATTTGTGAGGAAATCCTGGGAATATTCTGTCCTGCCAATGAGGGAATCCCGGGAATCCCTGAGGAAATCCAGGGAATTCTTGAGCAAATCCCAGGAATATCTGTTCTGCCAGAGGTACTGAGGGAATCCTGGGAATTCCTGAGAAAATCCTGGGAATATTTGTTATGCCAAAGAGAGAATCCTGGGAGTTCGTGAGGAAGTAAATCCTGGGAATATTCTGTTCTTCCAATGAGGAAATCCTGGGAATTCCTGAAGAAATCCCAAGAATTCCTGTCCTGTCAATGAGGGAATCCTGGGAATTCCTGTTATGCTGAAGAGAGAATCCCAGGAATGTCTGAAGAAATCCTGGGAATTTCCGTTCTGCCAATGTGAGAATCCCAGGAATTCCCGAGGAAATCCTGGGAATTCCTGTTCTGCCAGAGGTACTGAGGGAATCCCGGGAATTCCTGACAAAATCCCGGGAATTCCTGAGGAAATCAATCCTGGGAATATTCTGTTCTTCCCATGAGGAAATCCCAGGAATTCCTTTCTGTTTTGCCCAAGGTACTGAGGAAATCCTGGGAATTCCCAAGGAAATCCTGGGAATATTTGTTATGCCAGTGAGGGAATCCTGAGAATCCCTGAGGAAATCCAGGGAATTCCTGTTCTGCCAAAGAGAGAATCCTGGGAATTCCTGAGGAAGTAAATCCTGGGAATATTCTGTTATTCCAATAAGGAAATTCAGGGAATTCCTGTTCTTCCAGAGGTACTGAGGGAATCTTGGGAATTCCTGAGGAAATCCTGGGGATTGCTGAGGAAATCGGGAATATCTGTTCTGCCGATGAGGGAATCCCAGGAATTCCTGTTCTCCCAAAGGAACAGGAATTTTACTGAGGGAATCCTGGGAATTCCCAAGGAAATCCTGGGAATTTCTGTTCTGCCCAAGAGATAATCCCGGGAATTCCTGAGGAAATCCAGGGAAATCCTGGGAATATTCTGTTCTTCCAATGAGGAAATCCCAGGAATCCCTGAGGAAATCCTGGGAATTCCTGTTCTGCCAATGAGGGAATCCTGGGAATCCCTGAGGAAATCCTGGGAATTCTTGTTCTGCCAAAGGAATGGGAACTTTTACTGAGGGAATTCCAGGAATTCCCAAGGAAATCCTGGGAATATTTGTTTTGCCAAAGAGAGAATCCCAGGAATTCCTGAGGAAATCGGGAATATTCTGTTCTTCCAATGAGGAAATCCTGGGAATTCCTGAGGAAATCCTGGGAATTCCTATCCTGCCAAAGAGAGAATCCTGGGAATTCCTGAGGAAATCCTGGGAATTCTTGTTCTGCCAAAGGAACAGGAACTTTTACTGAGGGAATTCTGGGAATATTCTGTTCTGCCAATGAGGGAATCCCAGGAATCCCTGAGGAAATCCAGGGAATTCTTGAGCAAATCCCAGGAATATCTGTTCTGCCAGAGGTACTGA